CAACAGAAAAGGCATTAAATAGAGAGCATTTTTCAATTTAACAAAGTAAATAAATTCAGAATTTCTAAGTTTAAATATAAAAAGTATAATGATAATTACACGTGTCCAGATATTAAAAAACTAAATATAGAAATAAATACAAAAACTTATTTAACTATTTTTAACAACTTATTGTTAAAAATAATTATTTATAGCAATGTTTTTTTATAACGAACTCCTTAAGATATTATATATGTTAGTCAAAAAGAGAAATTGTAAATAAATGTGAAAAATATTATGCTATGAAAAATTATGGAATACTATAATTATTAGATTAATATTGTGTTAATTAAGATATTTAATCGAGATATATTATTATTATTATAATGTTAATTTAAATTGTTTGCTCTTTAAGTACTGTTATTACTAGCATTATTTATATTACATACGTGATGCATGTTATTTATATTATTGACTTATGTTTGTATTGCAAATATTTAAAATGGCAAGTTGCTCGAATATTGACGGCTCTAGCGAATGCTTCACCTATAAGCTATCGATTATTCGTATTGCGACAAGAGAGCTGAAAATTTTGCGATTACATAAAATCGTGAAAAAAAAACGGAAATATCAAGTCACACGAGAATTAATCACGAGTTTTATAATCGCAACTTTGCTATAGCATTTATATAACAAAACAAATATGCATTTCAAAGCTCTGTTCGTATATTAAATATTACAGCAAGTTGTTGAGCGCAGAGTATGAGATTGCTATTATAAAAAATTTCAAAGAATTATTCTCACACACACATTACTATTTATAAGAAAAATATTCTTACATTTATGGGAATTATATTCATATAGAATACAAAATGTGTTTTTTTTATACATTTTTTTTATTTTAAGGATAATTTTAAATTGAATGCACGATTGGAGTTAATGAGAGTAATACTTTACACATATATAATTATAAACAAATTGCTGCAGCATTTGATAAATATATATAAAAAGAGGTAAGAATCTTCTCTCGACGATATATAGAAAGATTGGCGTAGAAATGCATATTTATTTATCGTTGATATAGCAAAGCGCATAAAAAGTTACCGAAATGTCAACATTATTTAACAAACAATCTGAAAAATATACCCGAAATAAGAGCAAAAAAACGACAAAGATAAATGCTCATACTTATACAGCTGTATCTAGAGTTGCTATAGTTAGATGGAATTATATTTTACATTGTACAGTCGTGTACACATATGAATGCACTATAGATAGATAGTAAACTATCTTCGTATTGGAAGGGCGAGATGAAGAGAGATGGAAACGGAAGAGGAAGAATAAGCTAAGGGAGACGTGTTAGGTATAAGTGAATCCTGCGCGAAGTTCTACAGGAGCAGACACACTTTTGTTGCCTGTTGACTACGAATTTCTACGACACGTGTATGTACAATAGAGATGTATACACGCGCAAGCAAAAGGCTGATCAGCGAAAATTTGCTATCAAGCGAATCGAGTGTTATGTAAATTGGCACTGCAAGTATAATAATTGTCAAAAAAAAAAAAAAAGGAAAAGAAAGATCGGACGAAAGGGTGATATTCAAAATTGCATGTGAATTTTACGCATGTATTATCGAAAATTGAATTTACGAGCCATGAAGGGATTTCTTCATTTCTCGTAAATTCTTCTATCTCTTATATTTGATGTCTGATGAATATTCCGGCTATAAAGTATCGATAGAATCAATCGCGACAGTTCATTTTTTCTATGCAACACGAGAAGTGCCATTGCGTTAACACCGTTTCGTAAGATCGAAATCAGCCCGTCTGTTCCAGATTATATGAAATATAGATACAAACGGGATAAAATATGGGATAAGTGTACGTGGTGCATTTAGATTTTTTACACGTTAAGGCAAGCAGATGAGAGTCTCGTTTCGTTAGCATTTGCATTCTTAAGCGATGTATATCTTAAGCTGGGCCTCGCATAATCGTGTAATTACGTGTTTATTATTTCGCCCGGTATATAGTTTACAGTTGCAAAAAGATACTCGGAGCTGAGTAAAACGACTATTTTTTTATATTTATGCAATTTTATAGTAGGGAAAGCGGTAGGATTTAATGCATTCGTATTATTATAAGAGATCCATGATCGCGTGACATTGAGAGGAAGTTTAGAAACGAGTTCGTCATATCAGTTAAATATTGAAATAGTGTTTTCATCAGCTTCAAAGACGATACATTTTCACGTATAAAAGGAAAAGAGAGCAGATACACACGCATATGTGAGTATGTACCGTAGTGCGCGCACTGACGCATTACAAAAGATTTCCTGAAATCGAGGACATTGTAAATATATAGGAATAATGCCGTAACTAAGAAATTATATGAATAAAGTATTGAAACTGTGTGCACGAGAAATTCGTTTAATCCCTTTTGGCGTATCCTTTTTGTTTACACGAAACACATTAATTTATTAAAAATAGTTCTTCTTTAATTTTAGCTGCTACGGAATATTTCAGTCTCTTGTGAGATATTAATGAGTATATCATTAAAAATACATGTTTTTCTGAACAGAGAGCATTTCTATACCCCATATATCTATCACGTTGCGCGGCTCGCGCGAGACTAATTCCTGTGCGGGGTATCGCGAGCGCGGGCCCGATGGTCACATGACCAGTGATCACATGACCAGTGATCATGTGACTACTGGTCATGTGACCATCGGGCCCGCGCTCGCGATACCCCGCACGGGAATTAGTCTCGCGCGAGCCGCGCAGCGTGATGAATGTATGGGGTGTATTAATCTGACAGAAAGGATAGAAAGAGATGAGTTGCTTTCGTCGTGCAGCGTGCAAAGCTGTGCAGCACAGCAGACGCGTACAGACGTGCGAATCTAATGCAAGCGCAGATATTTTGATCGGAAGATTCTTGTAGAAAATAATATTTTTTTGTTTTCTGTTAAAAAAGTTTTAGATTTTTAATATTTATATATAAGTAATTCATAAATGAATGTTGCAACACCTGAAATATAATACTCGTTAAAACTTGTTACATATTTTTCTGAAACACTGTGCAATATATGCAAACAGGTGCATAATATGAAAATCATTGTTTAAATAGCATAAATACTATATATCATAAATATTGCACAATGTCAATCGCACCGATTTCATTAATTCAATTATAAATACGGCGATGCAATTACAATTTGTTTGATTATTAATGAGTGCGTTATACTATTTATTGTTTAAAGAGTAAAAACAATTTTGTCCCTTGTCAATCTGCATGGATTCGACGCGTAAAGTTGCAATTATTTTTCAGAGCAATTTTGATTATTCGATTGAAATAAAGGTGGTAATTGTATAAATGCGTATTTTATTAATTCGTTTTCAACATTGCAACTTGTCATATAATTATATATAAAACTTAATCGACAAATATAATTCTATATACATTAACAATAAATAATCTCGCTCTTGTATTTATAAAATAACGTTATTATTAATGTGACGAAATCACATTAATAATGTTATTTTATAAATACAAGAACGTTTATACATATACACAATAATTGTGTATGTGTAGATAAACATTAAAACCGCTATTTTTAGAATGAAAATAGAGATTGCAAGTAATGGACAAAAGTTCTTAGCATATTTGTATTAATTAATCCGCGTAAAGTTATCGAGAAATAATCATAAGCGTCTTATTCTCGTAAAAAAAATTTGGAAGATTTAATCTTTAAACAAATATTGCGAATTTGGATGTATAACGTCGGTATTATCAGAGTTAAATATAATTCGCGTGAAATTAATAGATAGTTCATAAATCGTAATCATTCAATTTTTATAGTACAATAAAAAATCATTACAAAATAGATTAATTATAATCCACGTGACACGTCTCACGATATATCGACGACATCTCAAATTCTCTGATCTAAATAATTCGCGTAAAATCATTCAGAAATAACCAGAGTCGCTCTTGCTCTACTCAATGAAAAGCGAGAGAGAGAGAGAGAGAGAGAAAGAGAGATACATCGACTCACTAAATGCATCCTTTTCTATTCCTTTACGCGTCCTTCTCTCTCGAAACCCAAACATCTCGCGTCCTCCTCTATTCCTCGTCGCATCCTTTTCGCGTTATCTTCAATCTTCACGCTCGACTGAGCACGGCTCGGGATCTTTAAACGTGTCCGAAACTCGATATCCACGTAAAAACTGAGACAAAACAATGTATCCTTCAACGACCTTCAATTGTGTCGGTGCCGCGCATCGCCAAATAAGGTATAAAACATGATCGTCGTACATACCAGCTGTCATCGTATTTCTTATCGCGCATTTCTGCGGTGATTTATGGCTCCATTTACTCACACAACTTTTTCTTTCATACATTTAGTCACCTACACGAAAATCCATTCATTCAAGGCGTGTTTTGACGATTTCTGAATTATCACAGTCTCTCGTATCATTTTTAAACATTACAACAATGAATTCTAATGAATGTTCTATATTATATTCATTAAAAGAATTAATTAATTATAATGATTGTTTTGATTAGCAATATTTTATTTTGCATCTTATATTATAAGATTCATATTTATTATAAGATTCATATTTAATTATAAGATGTATTTATATAGTAATATCAAATATATTTTTATTAAAATTATTCAAGTTCTGAATTATTGCCTTAGGTAGCTATATTTTCGAGATAAAATAAAAAAAGAAATTAGGTAATGATATCTCCGAGACAATGAATCTTACGAAGAAATGTCACAGAGTGATGAACTCGTAGATTTCGTCGATTTCTACATGATTGCCCTGGAACGCGACGTTTTTTGAGATAAACACAAAAAACAAATTAAATAGCGCGATATCTAAAATTTTGACAAAATTAATTATCGCTTCTAATAATTAAAACTTCTTAGGAAATTAAAGAGCGCGTTGAGAAATATTGGAAAACATGAAAAAATAATATTTTAATAATAATTAATATATTAATGGAGATAAGCATGATTTTGTTATATGCATTGCTTTATTTCATAATATGCAAATGTAACATACATTATTTATTCTGTTCAATCTACACCTACGTCTACACATAATCACAATCACAATCTTATATTAATCGATAAAAAGAATTTCTCACGACTACGCGTCGTTTATTCGACTTATACAGTCAGTATGTGCTTACAATGACTAGATACGATGTAACAGATGTAAAAGGTGCACAGTGTAACTTCGCTTATCGGCGATCAAAATGTAACAAAAAGAGGACGAAATATTTATATAGTAGGTATATAAGTGGATGACGTGATGCTGCTTCTCAGTAGCGTATCCGAAGTATGTTGCGTCCCAGAGCCCTTCCGAGATGCACGTTTATGCGGATGAAGGTTCAATGGAGGCAAATTCGGATGTTCGATTCTCGTCGGGGAACTCACGCGTGGACGGAGGGTTCCTCTCTGAATTGTAAGTATGCCTAGAATCACAAATGATCAAGCGCAATAATACATTGTTTTTTTCAAGAACATTAAAAAGTGTGTCACATATCTACATACAAGTATTTTTTTCATATCTAAATTATGCGGAATCAAAATATCCAATCGAAAGAAATTAAAGTTACATTAAATTCCACCGTCTAATAAAATAATATATATTAATGAACGAAATAATATTTATATAATTGTTTTCTACTTTGTTTTATCGAAAAGATATATTTTATAAAAATTGATGTAATATAATGTGTACATGCACTTTCTTAAAATATATCTTCCATACCTGATTCATTTGGCTCCAAGACATCGTTAAGCTGATAATATTCTGTCTTGATAGATAAAGGTTCCTCATAATCTACAAATGCAGTGTTATCGAAAGCTTTGTCATCCTTTGGTCGATTTTGCACTGGGGTAATAGCTGGTGGATCGGCATACGTCTAGAAAATCATTAATTAACATTCACATATTAAATGTTTTTATATATTTTGCATATAAAATAATCTCTTGAAATTAATTATAGACGTTGCGTATTGTCTTAAATTAAATGTCCAGCAAACAAAATCTATCGAAAATTAATTTTAAGGAAAAGAATTTCTTTCATATGTTTTATTAAAGTCCGCAAAGATATACATTGCTCAAAAGCATAAAAATAAAAATAATTTTTTATATGGAATAAATAAAAAATAGTAAAGAATATATATAATAAATAATTTTTTTCTCTGTTTTAAATAAACACTTACATGTTTCTTAAACAAGAGATCTAACGGTTCTAAGCAAGAGAGATAAAAAAATATTAAAAAATTAAATAATTTTCTATTTTATATGAATTAAATCTCTCTGTTTTTATTTGCATATATAAAGAGATCAAGTTGTATAAAATTCTTATTAGTAAACTATAATTTTACAAAAAGATAGACACAGATTAATCAAATGTATTTTGTGATTATTTTGCAAACACACATTTAAGAATTAATAATTTTCAAATTATGACCGATTATTAAAACTAATTCTAGTTTCAAAAAGTGCAAACAAAAATCTTATTTGCTTTCCACACAACTCCATTTCGTATCATTTTAATTTATATATCAATTTTATTTTTCTTTGACATATATATAGATTTCTAATTTATTTGTAACAAGAATATTTAATGTTAAGAACTGAAAACTTACAAAAAATTTGTGTACATATATCTTTACTAAAAAAAATTGCAAATTAATCAAAGAGAATTTGAGCAACATAAATACTCACAAATAAAGAGCTCGCTTATATCTGGGACATCTTATACGAGTAATTGTGTGTGGTATAATACAAACGTATTGTTAGATTGCCTTGAGTTTTACATGTTCGGTTGGTGTAGTCGCACAGGAACGTTTGTGAAACTGTCCGCTCCCGATGGTCTCGTACGTATGCTCCTCCAAATAGTGTCTCGTGGTCCCACGTGGAGTAAGAGTGGCCCACATGACTCGACTGTCTTGCATGGTATCTGCCGCACACGGATAAAGCACTGCCTCATTCTGGAGCCTACCGTTTTTCGCTTGCATCCCAGAAGTTGCATTCGGCATGGAGATCACCCCGCTTTTCCCATTTCTATTGCTATAATCGAGAAAAATTCGTCATTTGTTTTATTTTTTATTAAATATAAATAGTGTTGTGCTTAGATGATTTTAAAATTATTTAGACATAAAATAAAAATATGTAAATTCATCTTAGATAAGATGAAGATGATAAGTTCTACTATTTAAGTATCTTTATGTGCTATGATTCTAAACCAAAGTTATCTGAAAATTATTCTAAATAATTTAGTAAGGATAATACTTTTTTCATCTAAGATACAAAGATATATACATAGATAATACATATTTTTATTATCTATGTATATAAAGATAAGATGACGCCAAATTTTAAGTTTCATCTAGATGATCATCTATATAATTTTATTTAGATAATAGCAAACACTGAATATAAATTATGGCTTTCATTAATAAGATGAACAAATATACTTACAATTTGCATTTTAAGAGCAGCGTCGCGAGCACTATGGCGATAAAAATGACACCGACGCAGGACGATATTAAGATCAGGAGCCACGTGTCGTCAAATACAGTTCCTAATAAAATTATTTAAACTTTTCATTTAAATTCTACATATCTTATTTTCATGTTTGATCGTTTGTATTAGTTTCTTTTATAAAACAATGTACAAAAATTAATTGCATTAAATCATGTAAACTTTACTTTTTAATACAAATATTTTTGTGTTTTCACGAACCTTGTTGAGGCATTTCTATATATTGAACCCCTTCGGAGCGCCGATCACAAAAATGCTTGCAGGGACTGTCATTTAAATGTGGTGGAAATGGCAGGATGTCAGAACTTGGATAAAAATCGGAACCTTGCTGAAGAATAGCCGGAAATGGTGGCGGAGGTATATGAAGAATGTCAGGGGGTGGTTCGAGCGTACAGTAAGCGCAGGTTGAATTCATGATTGTATCCAGTGCTCTCATCTATAAATTATACAAAGCTGTATTCAGATATCCCATGCACAATGTAAAATAGAAACGTATATTAAAAATTTTAAGCTTTAACATAAAATTTATATATATATATATTTTTAATACCCTCTCTCTCTCTCTCTCTCTATATATATATATATATATATATATACACACACACACATACATATTGTATATATGTGTATATGTAATTAGAAAACAATATAAATTAAATTCATTTTTTATTTGTCAATATATATATTAACAAATAAAAAATAAATATAAATAAGAATATAAACATAAAATAAAAGAATATAAATATCAAATAAAGAAGACATTGAAAATAAGAGACATAAAATGAATATTTGTCAAAGTGTATAATAAATAAAATCAAACGAATTTATGTAAAACCTTCAAAAGTAATGACAACGTTAAATCTCCATCCACTGTTTTTCCCTCGTCTCCTCGATTAAGTTTTCACTCTTCGAAGGAAGTAGTATAATACCAATATGCAAAATAAGCACAGGATTTTTAAGTAAATTCCATTTTCCACGCGTCTTTTCACAGATCACAACGTACGAACAGAATTAAACAGAATATTACTGTGATAAGAAAATTCTCTCTTACCATTGAGCACTAGCTCTGTGAGAGTCTGGTATCGCAGGGTATACAGATTAGTGCAAGGCGCACGCGCGTCTTTATTGAACGTAAAAGTAAAGAACATAACCGACAGGGTTGCAGGGGCGAATTATATGTATTTAAATCCCAACCTTCAATTTTAACTAAAAAATATTTTATTATGAGCAACACATGTACATCTTTTATATTTAAATTTTCTTTTTTGTTATATTTGACACTATAATTCTATTGTATTTTTTATTAAAATACATATTAACATTAGTGTATATTATTATATTGATAGCTGGCTATGTTGAAAAAAATTGTAAGTTTACAAGTATAAAAGAGATTGTAATATTGTAATATATTGCATGTGGTTCGAAAAATTGAAAAAAGAAAATATCATATATTTCACGATCAAAAATTAATTACATATAAGGCGAGAAATAGATATTATGTGCATACGTACATATACAGTATACACCATAATAATGGCATCGCAAGTGTGATCCTTCGATAAAAATATCGATATCAGGTTATTCAGTGTTTGCTGTTATCTAAATAAAATTATATAAATGATTATCTAGATAAAATTTTGACATCTTCATACAGACAATACAAATATTTTTAATCTATATTTTAGGAAAAAGTGGTATCTTTACTAAATTATCTAGAATAATATTCGAATAATTTGGTTTAGAGTGATAGCACATAAAAATACTGAAGTAGATAGTAGAACTTATTGTTAGTAGCGATAAAAGCTTATAAAAAAGTAAGCGATAAAAACTTATAAATGAAAGTATATGAATATATTTTTATATCCCTTTCATAATTTACATTTTTTTATATCTGTGTTTTTATGTATAAGCGATCTTAAAAAAATTATATTAACTGGAAATTAGATAATTAATTTGCCATATATAATTTTATCTTTTATCTAAATACACTCACTCCAATAAAAAGTGGTACACTTAAAATTTGGCAAAAAATCACCAAATTTTAAATGACGATAACTTCGTAAATAATAACAATAGAAAACTTTCTAAAAATAAAAATCAAACTTGGAAACTCTATTTTAAGAATCTATTTATTTCAATGTTGCAAGATAAATTTATTAAAAATGGCGGACGACAAAACGAGAACATGCAAAATTGAAAAATAATGGTCCGAATTTGCTGAGGCATATGGCATGAATCAAATGTTGTAATTCAATCGGATAGAAAGCATATAATAGTACAGAGTCTTCTCTTTAAAATGCTTTTTTATTCATCTTAATACGATGATTATTCGCCGAGATATTCGCATTTGAATAAAAAAGCAGCTTTTTACTTTAAATGCAAATAACTCTGCGAAAAATCATCGTATCGAGATGAATAAAAAAGCATTTTAAAGGGAAGACTCTGTACTATCGTATGCTTTTGATCTCATTAAGTTGCGACATTTGATTCACGTCATGTGCCTTGGCAAACTTAGATCATCATTTTGTAATTTTGCATGCTTTCGTTTTTTTATTCTGCATTTTTAATAAATTTATCTCGCACATTGAAATAAATAGATCATCAAAGAAGAAACTCCAAGCTTTATTTTCATTTTTAAAAACCTTTCTATCTTTATTATTTACGAAGTTATCATAATTTGAAATTTGATAATTTTTTCTCAATTTTAAGTGTGCCGCTAACAACCGCTTTTTTCGAGTGAGTGTCTAATTAAAACAAAATCATGTTCATCTTATCTAAGATAAATTTATATTTTCATTTTTCATCTTTATCAAGCTAATTGTACAATTATTTAAGCACAACACTAAAGCTATTACGCGAAGAAGAGTTTGGGTACTTAGCTTTTCTTTTAGGATAATCCTTTAAGATAAATCTTAAAGAATTGTCCATCCAAGTATTGAGCCACTTCACCATGACAAAGTGTACCCATTAGAGGGATTATTGTATTATTATTACGTATATAGTTTTGTAATATGATACAATTACGCATATATAGAATCGAAAAATAGAAATATTTGTAATGTTTGTCTTAATCTGTAATTCATCCTTTATGAGGTAACGAAACTATCTACAATCTATAGTCTACAATTTTTTACACAATATAAATTTATATTTTTACACTCTAAAACCGTTACCTCGTAAATAATTTATCACTCACCAATTGATAAGTAAAACAATGTTGACTGCAAGTTAATATAAGCTGATCTGTAACATATAAATAGAATAAAAATTATAGTAGAACTCTCAAGAAAATTATTTTTCAAACAATTATTATTGTATTAGATTTTATTTTCCATAAGTGCAATAATAAGAAAATAATTAAATAATTTTATAAGTTTTGATTTAATACAACTAAAATAAATAATAAATTCACTTTAAGGTTGTTTTGTCGATACTTAATGTCTTTCTCAGACCTCCTACTTTCTCAGTTTGTCAGTGTCGTCAGTTACGTTGATTTGTAACATACAAATTAAATCTAAATTATAGCAGCGCTTAAATAGTTAATAACCATATTTATTTAATTTAATAATTTTTATCCGGCTTATTTATTTATTATTATAATATTAATTTAATATTAATTATTAATAAATATTAATCAATTTATTTAATAAAAATGTGACAAAAATAAACATTATTACAAATTTTTAGATGTTTTGATTCACAATTTATAAATATATTTATAAATGTATGATTTTATCGATAGTATCAAAAATGGATTTGGCTATGAACTTTTACTTCACAGTTTCTGGAATGAATGTAGATGACAGTACTAAACGAGGCTTAGTCGAGAAATATCGAGGAACACACAACTCTCTACATGGATGATTGTACTGATCACATTAAAAGCGTTTTACATGAAGTCATTGAAATAAAAAAGTAAAATATAAATATCTTGAACCGATTTAAAGATCTAATTATAATTTATTATCACATTCATAAATAGAATGTATTATTTTTTTATCGTAAAAGTGTTTTTATTATACTTTGTCCATTTGGATATTTCATGTACAACAGCCTTAAGTTGTATCTACTGTAAAATTATTTGTCGCAAATCTACTAATTATTGTTCTATGATCGTCGCGACTGCAATCAGCCGCGTTTGGTTGCGCTAAGCTCGTACTTGTTGCACGTTCACGTGCTCGTTCTACATTTTTCCAAAGGAAAAACCACAAGATTCTATCATAAGAGTGCATATATACCTACGGATAAAAATGGCCAACTATCATAAGCCGGAATTGAAGACTATCCAAGAGTTGAGGGACATCGCGAACAAACTGAGAATTCATTCTGTCGAGGCCACGCAAGCCAGTAAATCCGGGTGAGTTTTTTTTCGGCAGTCATTCATCGACAAGAATAAGAAATGCGATTGCTTAACAACTCGTTAAGCGACAATACTGTCGTCGGTCGTACGATGATAAGCGAGAATGAGTCGTATTACGCGATAATGACGTAATTCCAAGATCGGAAGTTCGCACGTGAACTCCACATCAATCTAGGCAACCGTTGCGTTTCATCGAAATATTATATCCGTTTTCTTTATTGGCACTATATCATTTTTTTGAAAGAAATAAGCATCTCTCGGGTTTTTAAAAGGCAGAGAAATGAGAAAAATTGTTGGAGAAAAAAGCAACTATATAAAAGAGTTGAAAGAAACACGAATGATTATGCATTTAATATAGAGAATTAAAGAATATACATGCCTTTTAGAAAAATTACATGTGTCTTCTTGCACATATATTTATGATCTAATTTTCGCAATTCTTGATAAGAATATCACGCGATGTATAATATATTAGTTATTTATAATTAGTATAGATCAAAATTAAACGCACTGTGCAAACTTTAAACACACACACATAGTGCAAACTGCAAACACAGACTATATGTAAAACGCTAATTCAGCATTCAACTCGAGTCATCATTTCTGCTATCATTGATTTTATATTTAACTCTTTTTGTCTGCACTATTCTACGTGTATTAATCTCTCCATATGTATAAAAAGATAAGTACATAAATCTTAAACACACCGTCTTTTTCAGATATAAATGCAAATTGAATAATTTGAGAAAATAATTTTGAAACAAATATTAGTAATAAAAAAATGTGATTTATTTAACTTAGTTTTAGTTAGATGTCTATTTTATAAATAATCTATATATTTATTCGTAACAAAAAGAGAAATGCCATAATTTTAAACTATATATATTCTATATTATGTAACATATATACAAATATAGTTTATCTTATCTTGCAATTATATTGATCTGAATTTCTACTTTGTAATTAAAAATAGAAAAAATAGAAAATAAAAGAAACATTTTTTTCAATATTATATATTATTTAACTTAGAATAACAATTTATATACTTCATATATAAAATATATGCACACACTCTTTCACTTTTCTACTTACACTATTACAGATTACATATAGTGAATTAAGAAAATTAAAATTCACTCACGTAATCATCTACTTTTTTTTATCGCGCTGCTACTGAAATGTCGTGACAGTGATCTAATTTAAGAACTTACTAGCTCATTACTTTTTCTCTTAATAAACTTGGACAATTATGAGAACATGCAATGACGTGTTTTTACAATTTTACCTAAGTTAAAAATATTTTAATTAATAATTTATTATTACATATATTCTACTAATTGATAATTATATTACCATTTTATACAATAAAAATTTTCTAAACAAACAAAATGCAAGTTAATTATACATTCAGATTTATTAAAAAATTCACAAAACTCAATAATTTATTTGTTCTTTAAAAAAACAAAAAAAGAGGCGGGATTATATAAGACCCATGCATATTGTAAAATACTAAACACATCTGAATTGCAAATTAAAATCGCTATGGCAAACAGAATTTCATCGTGATGTAAAGTTGCATTTACATACCTCGCTGAATGCGAATATCCAAAATGCGCTTAGTTAAAAATACCTTCGCAACGTTATTAATTAATAATTGTAAGTCATAGAAAATGAAATTAATTGAATAAAAAAGAATAAATACAAATATAATTAATTGTATTATTAAAATGTGAAATAAAAATTGATTATGGAAATGGACAATGAAAATATCTACTTTAATCGAAAAATATTGATCGGTTTGAATATATTTCGGAATATTTCCAAAATTGACAAGAAAAGAAGCGGTTTAATGTAAAGGAACATTCAGTCTTCGTGTTTGTACGTTAAATTTCGGGACACCCTTTATATACGCATCGTCATTGCGTCGAAGAGGTAGGGAGATATTCGCATAGTCGATTCGTTTGCCGAAACTCTTCTCGGTGGCAGTTGCGATCGAACGCTCATTGTCGACGGGGTTCCAAGACCTGGATATTAATTCATTCACGATGGTGCGAAACACAAACATGGAAAAACTCCAAGATCTTGCCAATACTCTACGTATTAATTGTGTGCGAGCAACAGAAGCGTCAAAAAGCGGGTACGCTTATAATTATCATTCTAATAATTAAACAATACGTATTATCTCTTTAGATATTTTTTCTTTCTTTTTACGCCAAAAATATTATTTTTAATGTTCTCAATAACATATTAAGTTTTTAATTAAATAAACCATACGAGATGCAACATTATTACTATATGTAATATCATTATCAGCGTTTAAAAATACGTTCTATAATCAATCTATTATCGATTTTTATGCAATGTGGCAAATTGCATTGCAGAATTCAATGGAGCAAATATACTTTATGAAACATTCTACTTCATTTCTATATCGATAATAAATTGTTATCAAACTCTTTATTTGATTTGTATAATAAAATATTATTATAATTTCTCAAAGAGAAATTAAAAAAATGAATAAAAAATATTTGTTAGGTACTGTTAATCGTTTAAACAAAATTGCAGATATTACATAAAATTGCAGAATTAATAGATAAAGATAAAAATAAATTTTATAATACGTTATGTAAGAAAGTTTATCATTATTTGGATATCATAATATTCTCTGTGACTTCCAGTCACTAAGAGTCAAAGATATGATATTTTGACGATGCTCTTTGATATTCTGACCTTACCACGATAGCAAATAATGTAAAAAAAAAAAATAAATATCATTCGATCACATGAACAGAATTATCGTCAATATGCGCTCACAAACACTTTTCTAAAAACAAAGATATTTTGCTTAAAATATTTAATAAATTAAATTAAATAATAAAATTATGGAGAGAGATATATAAATATTAATTGAATAAATAATTAATTAAGTTAAAGCATTCATTATGCGTTTATTTAATTTTCTAAGTATATAATATATACATATATACTTATAATTTATTTCTATTATATATGTTTTATTCTAGGCATCCGACATCATGTTCGTCAATGGCTGAAATTATGTCTGTTCTTTTCTTTCATACAATGCGTTATAAAGTATCGGCACCACGCGATCCGAGCAGTGATAGATTTATCCTCAGTAAAGGCCATGCAGCTCCAATTCTTTATGCAGGTTTGATATACTTATTAATTATACTTAATTAAATACTTTAATATTAATTTAGACGCATTAAATATAATTTTTAAACTAAATAATAAATTAATAACTTTTTAATAATATAATAATATAATTTTATTTATAATATTTTCTTGTATATCGTAGCATGGGCGGAAGCAGGCTTATTCCCATCCAGCGAATTATTGAATTTGAGAAAATTCGATAGCGATCTAGAAGGGCATCCTACCCCGAGGCTGAATTTTGTAGATGTAGGAACCGGTTCACTAGGACAAGGTCTCTCCGTTGCTGCAGGCATGGCCTATGTCGGAAAGAATTATGATAAAGCCAGTTACCGGTATGGTTACAAATGTCCAACTTGTAATTTTTATTTATAAATTATAGTTATATTATATGATATTTATATATATAAGAGATAAGGAGATGAAACTTTTTAAAGACTGAAGATTTAGACATCTTATAAATGTCATACATCTTAATTATATTCGCGATATAATTTATTTACATAATTAATAAATATACATGTATTACTTTTTACTTTTCAGCGTATATTGTTTGATTGGTGACGGAGAAGCGGCAGAAGGTTCGATCTGGGAAGCTCTTCATTTTTCGTCCTATTACAAGTTAGACAATCTTTGTGCTATTTTTGACATCAACCGTCTTGGACAGAGCGAAGCGACTTCGTTGCAGCATAACATGGAAGTTTACCGCAAAAGATTAGAGGCCTTTGGTTTCAATGCTTTAGTAGTGGATGGCCACGATGTGGAAGAATTGGTTAAGGTAAACTTGACAGTTATACCAAGTAAATTAAAATAGTTGCTAAAAGATGATATACTTCTAGGCCTTCCATGAAGCACAAAATACAAAGGGACGCCCCACTGCCATCTTAGCTAAGACATTTAAGGGCAAAAGCTTCCCTGAAATCGAAGATTTAGAAAACTGGCATGGCAAACCTCTGGGTAATAAAGCGAATGACATTATTCAGGTATGTTATACCGATTTTAACATGCTAATTATCATTATAAAAATTTACTACGACACTGTTTCTCGATTTTAATATATCTTTTTGTGATTTATAATATAGCATCTGACTGGACTTTTGAAAAATTCTGGTCCCCTCGGATTGCATCCACAAAAACCGCTTGTAGATGATGCTCCTGTTGTGGATATCAGCAACATTACATTAGCTTCACCTCCAAATTACAAAATGGGTGAACAAGTAGCTACTAGATTGGCTTATGGCACGGCTCTTGCGAAGGTTCGTAGGTCTTTGATCGATATTTATTAACGAAATATATTGCTGAAAAATATATTTGTGTAAATTATACGTGATTATTTAAGTTACGTGATTATGCTAGATTTTTTCCGACATAATCATGTAATATTGCTACTTATATGGAAGATTACAGATTATATGTAATTTCATATAAAATATATTCTTATATATTTTCAAGATTAAAAATATTCCATTGAACATGAAATTACACGTACGAAATTAATATTTTTAAAACAAATGGGAAAAAAATTACAGTGACAAGCAAGTAACTTTTCCAGTTCTGAGCAAGTAATTTCCATGTAAAAGTACATGAATTTTTTTCAGTGTATACTCAATATGTATATCTGATGCTAATCGTTTTATTCCAGTTGGCGAAGAATAATCCTCGTGTTATAGCCCTGGACGGCGATACGAAGAATTCCACGTATGCCGAAAAAATAAAGGCAGTCGATCCAGCTAGATTTATCGAGGGTTTCATTGCCGAACAGAACGTCGTGGGAGTTGCGATTGGTGCCGCTTGCAGAGATCGTACCGTCGCGTTCGTGTCCGCTTTTGCAACATTCTTTACACGTGCCTTTGATCAAGTAAAGCACAAATCATATATCTCATGCATGAAAAGTAACACATACAGGATGTCCCATAGGAAATTGCTGAAACTAATCAGCTGTCATTTTTTAATCCGTACAGTTATTGAGAAAACGAAAATTGTGTTGGAAAGACGAAAATCTGCAATTTTTAATGGATATTTTTGTTTTCTCAATAACTGCTTGCATTATGTAGTTTTATACGATTATTAGCACATTTTTCATTACTTTTTTTCAATAAAATAAACTGCAGACTTCTCTTTTCAACACAATATTTTTGTTTTCTCAATAACTACAATGCATGCATTAAAAAATGACAGCTGATTAGTTTCAGTAATTGCCTATGAGACACCCTGTATAAAAATATAGACAAATACTATGTTGCAATTTACATTTCAGATTCGTATGGGTGCGATATCTCAGACGAACGTAAACTTCGTCGGTTCGCACTGCGGCGTGTCTATCGGGGAGGATGGACCTTCGCAGATGGGCCTGGAGGACATCGCGATGTTCCGCGCGATCCCGAATTCCACCGTTTTTTATCCGAGCGATGCCGTGTCGACGGAACGCGCTGTGGAACTGGCAGCCAACACCAAGGGTATCTGCTTCATCCGCACTTCTCGTCCAGCTACGGCGGTTCTGTACAAGAACGATGAGCCGCTGAGCATTGGTAAAGCTAAAGTGATCAAGTCTTCTGCGAACGATCAAGCTCTCGTGATCGGCGCTGGTGTAACGTTACACGAGGGGATCAAAGCTGCCGATGAATTGGCCAAAGTTGGAATCAACGTTCGCGTGATCGACCCATTCACGGTTAAACCTATCGATGCGCAAACGATAATCAAAAATGCAAAGGAGACCGGTGGCAGAATCGTCACCGTCGAGGATCATTATTCTCAGGGAGGTTTAGGAGAGGCGGTTCAATCCGCTGTTGCTTTGGAAAGAAATGTAATAGTGAAAAAGCTGGCGGTACCGAATGTACCGCGTTCTGGTCCACCAACAGTGCTGCTCGAAAATTATGGCATTAGTGCTCGTAATATCGTTGCAGCGGTGCAGGAAATCTTGAAATATTAGCTTTGAACATCGCTGGTTAGATCGATGAGGAGCTGTACACGTACAAATTTAATATTCTATTTTTTGAAAGCACAAATCTCATTGATGGAGTAACGTGATGAAACATTCCTTTTTCTTTAAGATGGCTATAAAATATAAAGCAATAGTTAAAACTAATATAATTTTCATAAGGCTCAATTTTTTCGATACTAGTGAAGTAAGTGTCTACAATATTAAAATCTAATCTTTGTAAGTAATTTCGAGTCCTGCTCTGAAAAGTAAAGTTAAATATTATCAGCCAAAGCATTTATTTCCAACAAATAAATAAGCTCATTATATTGAAAGGAAAACAGTAAATTTATATATGAAAAAAAATGAATATTTTGTAACTAGATATATAAAAGTATATTTAAAATTTATATATGAGAAAAAAGAGAATATTTTGTAAAGTGATTTTATATAATAATTTTGTATAACAAGAAAGTTTATTCCTTAAAGAAATTTTTGACATATATAATGTTTCATATATATATATATATATCAAAGACGCGTTTACATTTGTAGCAAGACACAACAGTGAAAATATTAAAATGTTTTTTTTTAAAGACTATTCTTATACAGCAATAAATGGAAATAAAAATATCTTCAAAAATAATTCTATTTTTTTCTATTTTTACTATACGTTCAACTCTTCCAGATAAAAAGAAGGAAAAAAAGAGATATTTAAGAATTGTTATTAAAAAATGTAAAAATATATTATCACATCAAATTAAATAATATACATAAGAGATAAGTTATATTAATACGATTACGATATCGAGTAATTCCTTCTTTTTGTGCAGCAAAAGTTTCCATTTCATATAAAAATAATTAATTATATTTGTGAAATTTAAGATTTAAACTTTCTAATAAAAAAGTCAAGATGCACAAAAAGTAAAATAACAAAAGATGATAGAATTAATTAATAAATTCAATATTATATTATATCTTGTACTAAAAAATTTAAATGTATGAATTTTAAATACTAAATTTTTCAGATAACTTTTTAAATAGGAGGAAGATATAAATATTTCTAAAAATCTGCGTTTATCATCCATGTCAGCAGATTACTGACAATAAATAAAAATGTCATCAATATCATGATGACATTATCTCTTCATTATCTTTTCAATTTTTATGCATCTAAAATATATATGTTTCTCTTGAGAGAAAAATATTTTTATCAAAAAAAGATAATTTTTATGCTATCAGTCTCTCAGAGTATCAAAAACAACTTCATCGAATAATAATTTATAAATAAAGTTGAAAGCTTTCAATTTTTTAAAATTATTAATTCAATTATATATGTATACAATTCAAATCTTTTTAAATTTTTTACTCTAATTAGCTTTCAATTTTTTTTAAATTTCGTAGATTGACTAAAATTGTTATGCGATAATAATTTAATTGTACACAATGAGTTAAGAATTTTTATTAATAATTTCGTCGTATATAAATTCTTCATTACCATAGCGATTGGTCACGAAACAGACAAACGCAGCGCCAGAATTCACTGTTAAACTCGCGGAACGACGATCGGTTTCACGTTCCACGTTCCCTTCGTCGACACTTCTCGGTCAAGTCAACCAGACTTGGCATCACTAGATAGCCGCACAGTAACGTGTGTGCGTGTGCACTTGTGCGTACACACATTATCGTCCCTTTGTGAATCCTAGCCGGTATCGCGTGCTTACACACGCGCGTGTGTATCGTATCATCAGGGATGTATCAAGAATAATCTCTATTCAAAATTTTCTGCAATTTATCAGCTTAATTTACATCTATTTATTTATATATCAATTTATTTGTTCACCCAATTCATTTATATATAAATTTATTTATTTATCCAATTTATATTTTTATTATTCAATTTATTTTTATATCAATTGATTTATACTAAATGATTCATACCAATTTATATATTAATATTAACATTTATAAATATAATAATTTCGACTTGCATGTCAATTTAAATATTTATATGAAATTATGTAAAATTTTGCCAAGTGTTTAAAAAAAATGAAAAGAGTAAGTCATTTAACTCTTGAATTCTAATCATAATTTTTAATAAAATTATTCAATTTATATATGTATTTAATTATTAAATTATAATTACTAAATTTATATACAAAATGTACTTAATTATAAAATTATAATTATAATTTGATGAAAAAATACATATATTCTTCGATAAGAAATTCACAAGAGACCTCCTAAATTGCACATTGAACAAATGATATATGTATAAAAGAGCCATAGTTTGTCACGTGCTCAGATACGGTTTAAATAACCGCGCCTTTATTTTCCCGCGCTCGACACGTCCCTGACGTGCCGCTCTTTCATCACCGCGCATACGCACACAACTTCAGGCAGGTTCGCTCGCGCGCAGCGCCCTCGCGCACATACACCCATTTCCGCGCGTGCGCGCCTCGTTCCGCGTTTCGCCGTCGTATCGCTCCGAAAAAGATGGCCGCCACGAAAGCGTACGGTGGTGATGTTGACGTTGTCGTTCGCACCGAGGTCGCGTCACGTCCTCGCGCAGCGTGAAAACCTAAAACGTGCGTGCGTGCGTGGGTCCGCGTGCGCCGTCCGGACCGTCTTGTTCGTTCATCGAGCATCGTCGCGGGCGACGAACAGAGATCGACGCGAGTGCAAAGGTGGTGTCTGATTCCGATCCGAGTCGAGTATGTGCGGTTTCAGATCCCTGCCGACCGGATATCTCGTCCTCGTAGCTGTGCCCGAGTAGCGCCCGACGACGAAGAAACGCCGAGGAGTCGCGAGAGTGAAGGGACGAGGGACGAAAAAGTGTCAGTGAGAGCGAGCGAGAAATATATATATATATATATACATATATATATATACATATATATATATATATATGTATATATAGTGAAAGAGTGAGAGGGGGAGTTACGAAAACTCGAACGTGTCCATCGTGAAGTGAGCCGCGAGAACATCGGATACACGTTTTTACGTCACGGAAACGTCACTTTGCCGGCGAGGAGGAATCAAGTGCGGTGGAAATAAGGAGGCATCGTTGGAAGGTCGCGCGTGAAAAAATCCGGCGAGAGAGACAGAGACAGAGAGAGAGAGAGAGGTCTCGCGTCGCGCCTCGTCTCGTCATCGCGAGTGGTGCGTGATCTCTTCCACGCGAGTGAAACAAATGCGTGCGCGTGTCACGACGAGAGGAAGACCGCCAGCGCTGTGCGTCGCCTTCGCGTCGTCGTGCCATCTTAGCGTCGCGCTAGCAGCAACGAGCAATCGTCGTCACCGCGAGCTTTTATTACGCGCGGCGACCCGAGCCAGCTCCGAGGGACGGCCATATTAATCCGTCATCATCGTCATCGTCATCCTCGCCGATCCGGAGCCTCGTGACGGATAATATTCGACGACCAGTGCGTGCGTGCGTGCGTGCGTTTTTTTTTTTTTTTTTTTCTTTTGGTTCCCTTCTTCTCTCGTCTCCGTGCTACTGCCTCCTTCGAAAGCCAGCGTCGCCGGATGACGGCTTGTGTACGTAGTGCGTGCGGCGCGGTACCTGGGTGTGCGACTCGCGACATAGTCTACGAGGTGCTGCCCGTGCCGCCTCATGTCTACGCATCGTCTTCATCGTCGCACGGACACAGCACAGCGGCTCGCCACCACCGTGTCTACCCCTACCTCCGGCAGCAGCAATATTACCCTTCCTAGGCCCTATGGTAGCCACACGGTGAGTACACACGTATACATGTTGTATATCTCGCTCGCTGCGCCGCTGCTTCTCTCATCACCCGGGCAGCACGAGTGGCCCCGCTTCGATATAACCTCTCTTTTTCCTCCTGGTGTCTTTATGCGTCCGCTGTCGTGCTCCTTCGGGGCACCGAATCAACGGATCTATTATTTACAAAAGGGATTTTCTTAGTTTTATATTGAAAAATTAAATATTACACAAAGCTAGCTCCTTCTTCAACAAAATATTACATTTTTATTTGGACATCCCGTATATGAATTTATACATGTAATAAGTGTCATACATTAGTCGAGGAATTAGGATCGTTCGTTGTAATCCGTCTTCCAGGTGCTCCTCAAGATTTATTATATTATTTATTATTTGTCTATATAGTGTCGTAATCTCGTATCCGTGAGAGCAAGTGACATTTATATTCTTAATTTGAAACAAAATAGCATCGAGCGTATTGAGATGTGACATAACCTTTTTTCTCACGCTGATGCTGATTATTACATATATTCACATTAATACAATATATTTTTTTCTCACGTTTGTAAATGTACAACGTTCATATTTATCAGTGTTATAATTAGATACATTTAAATTTCAAAAATAGAAGTTTTGATTTATTCATTTTTGTAGCTGTAAATTTAATACTGAATATTTGAATAATGTCACGATTAAACGATATTGAGATTTCGATTAATGCAAATTCTCTTCTTGCGTATGTCTATGGATAGAGCAGCATTTTGCGCTCGTTCATGTTGATTATGCACATTGAGATGTCTTGCAATGTAATCTCTTCTCTCTGTGCCTTGGACACACAGAGCTTTCATGTTTGTCAATGTTGATTAGACATATTGAAATGTCAGAGCATGTAATCTCTTCGTTGACATGTTTATGGTAATACAGAGATTCATGTTTAAATAGTATTATAATTTTTGTACACTGGATAGAATTAAATTTTCAGAGATCTCAATCTTTTACGCTTCCATGAATACACCGGAAAAAAAACTTTGTTAACTCGACTAACTAAATATTTTAACAAAATATTATTTTGTTATTCGAACTTATAAAAATGTTGAAATGTAACATTAAATCTAACAAAACGTATATTTGACTTAAATACTAATATATGTTTAATTAACAAAATATTAATTTAATTGAAAGGTTTAGTCGAGTTGACAATTTTTTTCAGTGTAGAATGGCAGTTAAAATACAACTTGTTAATTGTACATTGAAAATTCAGTTGACGTATATTTTTTTCTTCCGCAAACTCAAAAGTGTTCTTTATTTTTAATTATAAATTATTAGATATTTATAAATTTTTTTTGCCTTTTTTCAAATTTAAATTAGTGATAGAATTTATTCAATGTCATGAAAGAAGCTATTAGTATTTACTTTGCTTTACAGGCAATGTAATGACTTACATTTTTTATATTTTTTATTTTTTATACTTTCTTATTTATATACGAGACATCTAAATCAGTAATTAGATTTGGAATAAATATAATAATCTTTTCATGTTGCATTTTACATTGCATTTTCATTGCTTACAGTGAAGCAATATTATAAAAAGCAACTATTGTAAATGCAATATGTATTTTTATCTCTTATGCCTTGCTATGTGTTTTATCTTAAAAAAGTGTTTTATTTTTGCACAATATGCTATTATCATGTATGAATTATTTATTAGACAAGTTGAACAAACTATTTTTGAACACATTGAATACACACAATACATTAAATTTATATTTATGTATATGGGATGTTTGAAAAAAGATTTTATTTTAAAATTATGTTTTGGAAATTGCTTTAGTTTTTTATTTGAATTATTTAAAATATATAAATAAAATTCAAGAACCATCAAGATCTTTAAATTTCACAAAAGAGTCAACAATTTATAAGTCAGAAAAAATCCAAGTATTTTTTAATTCATATATAACTATATGAATCAATATTTATAAATCCATAATTTTTTGTCTACTTTATTTAGTTATAATAATGTTAAGATAAAATTTTCTTTTAAATTAGTATATAAAAGAAAGAATTTTCTATTATTTACATATTTATAATATATATTTTTATTTTTATATATAAAAATAAATAAAATATCAAGTAAATTACAGAAAGCTATCTCCTTCATAAACAAAATATTACATTTTTCTTTGGACGTCCCGTATATGAATCGATGCCATATACATAATAAGTGTCATATTAGTCAAAAAATAAGCATTGTAGATCAAGATTGTGTGATATATTTCATAAACATGTCACATCATCGGTTGTTCGCCTACGCATATTTTTATTCTTTTTTTTTTTTTTTTTTTTTTTTTTCGACAACGCATAGGAAAGATTGCTCGACGATTAATCATTCCCCTTCCGACACCCCGGGCCTCTTTAATACCGTGCGTCCCACTGCACCATTTGCCCTTTTACTTTAATTCACGATGATGAGGGTGCGTTCCCTCTAGCTCATTGTTTTTGACTTCGCATCGTTTTTGCGTCGCGGTATAAACTTTACGGTTAATATATAATTAAATACAATTAACACAAAAATAAAAATAATAAAAATATAATTATACCAAAATATAAAAAAACAATGCAAATATTAATTTTTTTTTTTCAGAATTCATCCAAGTTAAACGTTTTTTTTTTTTTTTTTTTTTTTTTTTTTTTTTTTTTTTTCTAAATGCAGATCTCTTCTTTACCAAGTTACATTTTTTGCGATACATTATTTAATTATTTAGGACTTTAGGGAATGCATTAATTATGATGGTTTCACATATTATACGACTTACTCTATCAAACGATAAATCTAAGAGAACAAAGAAAACTTTTATTTCGTTTGTGTGGCATTAACTATCTCGCCGTGCATTTTAATCCCACGGCTGCGCCGCTCTGGCAATTAGGAAGAATTACTCGGGAACCGGCGTTTCGCTGTAAATACCTGCAACAGCGCGTTGTTTTAATATAGCGTGAACATACATGCAGCGCGCGGAGAGTGGCGGAAATAAAACGCATGGCATTAATTTATTGAAACGCGATGTTTGCTATTGATTCTGTTATTGTCGCCAGTCATTGCGCGCGATGGGCGATTGTTCATATGTATATAGACGAGCAATTATGTTTTCTCTGCGTGAGAAAACGTAAGCAAAATGAATGGCGCTTTTCGCGTATTTTTAAATCTCGTGCATCCTTCGAATAAACATGACAAAAATATGATTTTTACAGATTCGATAAACGAGAATAATAATTCTCTATTTTCGATATATAAGTGAATATAAATTAATAGTAATATGCACAATATAAGGAAAGAAAACATACAGACTGAATTTCTTATATACATATGAATGAATCTTCGATATCTATAGATATATGAATGTAAAAAGTACTACGAAACAAAGGATGCTTTATTTAATTCCTCCGGGAATTTTCACTAGCAAACTGCTTTTCTTTCAAATCAGCAATTCAATTAAACACTATCGAAATTTAAAAGATTCACAATTGAGGCATTATTACGCTATCAATTGAAATGAACTGATAAATTAATCATACAGCAGTAATATTTATGACTAAAACATGAGGATATATTAAAATGAAATTGTGCGGCCGGTTGAATTCATGTCGGTTGGATAGCGACGTTTAAGGCAATATAATATTCGGTCCGAGAGCAATTATTGGGATCGTAGATTAAACGGCATTAATAGAGAACGTGCAGCGGTAGCAAAGGCGCGCATTGTTTCTGTATCCCTAATTACGTCACATGACCCGCATCGGGGTCATGTACCGCGGTCGGAGACGTTTTTCGAAATATAGGAATGCCTCTATTCTCGGAGTCTTTTGCATCCGATACACGATACAATATAATTATATTACTACACTGAACAAAAAACTGGTTAACTCGACTAAACCTTTCAACTAAACATTTTGTTAATTGAACATATAAAAATATTTAAATTAAATGTAACAGATTAAATCTAACAAAACGTATATTATATTTGACTTTCAATTGGCAAAATAATGCAAAGTAATTTAGTTGAAAGGTTTAGTCAAGTTAACAAGTTTTTTTTTTCAGAGTAACAAAAAGTCTGTTCGATCGCACATTATTCGCACATATTGCTCCTCTCTTTCTCTCTCCGAAAATAAACTTGTTTAAATACAGAAATGCAATTAATGAGAAATGAACAGGTTTAATTTCTATGATCTATCCAGTAGTTATAAATTACTCATTATAAGAAAGAAAAAAAAATTCTACAGGATGTCTTAATCGATGAGAAATGAAGACATCATCTTTAATCGCTGTGAAATTTAAACTAAATTTTTGTTATCAAAATATTTTAATTATTTATTTGGAATAATAATTAAGACGGTACAATTAAATTTGTGTGGATTACGATATTTTGTAGCGTACAATCATCTATACTCACAGAGTAAATACTATATAGTTAAAGTAGCTTATGTAATTGAGCGAAAATAACATTGAGGATTATGCAGATTGTTGAGGATTATTGCTTGAATTTATTGGAAACTGCGCGGTGCCTATAAATATAACTGCTATATATTGATATTTTATTACGACGCTGGTTGTTTTTATACGGGGACGCGTGATCTCACATTTATATGCATTACTGACTGATAATCAAAGAAAATTGATGGATAAATCCAGTGTGTAAACTCGGCCACGTTTTGCTTTATCTTATCATAATGCTTTAATCTCGTCGTATGATAATAGCATTACGCCACAATGATATGCAATTGCAACAATAACTTGTGAACTTTTTTATGGAATTAGAATCTGCATGAGCAATATTGTACACACATGCAACGCCATATATTCATTAATGTGCTTTACAATTAGAATTAAACTGCATTAAGTAGTTAAATGGGAGTGTAATTAATTTGTTCTTTTCAATGTTGTCTTTAAAAGGTGGATATAGAAAATAAAAATAGAGGATAAGGAAGATATTTAAATTGGTTTTGTATATAAAAATGTCAAA